GGCCCAGCATACTGATTTGAGTCTAGCATGATGTGTGCTAAGTTTCGTGATAATCGGTCCAGATTTAGATATAGATCCCATATACAACTTCGTCCGATTTAAGGTAAATGATGTACCAAAGTCCCTATATATATGTCGATTTGCACGAAATTTGGTACAGCGTACTGAATTAGGTCTAGAATGTTGTATATTAAATTTTGTGAAAATCGATTCAAATTTAGATATTGCTCCCATATATATTCGTCCGATTTTATGAAAATGGTGCACCAAAGTCCTTATATATCCTTCGATTTCCGCGAAATTTGGCACAGCGTACTGAATTAAGTCTAGAACGATGTGTGCTTAATTTCGTGAAAATCGGTTCAGATTTAGATACAGCTCACATATATATTTTCGTCCGATATAAGGTAAATGGTGCACCAAAGTCCTTATATATCTTTTGATTTGCACGAAATTTGACACAGCGTAATGAATTCAGCCTCCAATGATGTGTGTTAAGTTTTCTGAAAATCGGTTCAGATTTAGATATAGCTCCCATATATATTTTCATCCGATTTAAGGTAAATGGTGCACCAAAGTCCCTATATATCTTTCGATTTGCACGAAATTTGGCACAGCGTACTGAATTAAGCCTAGCAAGATGTGTTCTAAGTTTCGTGAAAATCGGTTCAGATTTAGATATAGTGCACATATATATTTCCTTCCGATTTAAGGTAAATGGTGAACCAAAGTCCCTATATATCTTTCGATTTGCACGAAATTTGGCATAGGGTACTGAATTAAGTCCAGAATTATATGTGCTAAGTTTCGTGAAAATCGGTTCAGATATAGCTCCCATATATATTTCCGATTTAAGGTAAATGGTATATATTTCTTTCGATTTTCACGAAATTTGGTATAGCGTAATGAATTAGGTCTAGAATGATGTGTGTAAATTTTCGTGAAAATCGGTTCAGATTTGTTCTTCCTATTTTATGTAAAGTGTACAATAAAGACCCAAAGTTTGTACGATTTGGATAGAACTCCTATATATATTTTCTCCTGATTTTAAGTACATGATGCACCAAGAACTCAAAATGAGGCCGATATGCACAAAACATACTGTAATTATTATAACTTAACCTTTGACAAGTTTCGATGAAATCGATTTAGATTTCGATATATATATATATATATATATATATATTGGTCCTTCAAAAATTCGAAGTCAGTTAGGATTCATCTCTTAAATATACCCAAAGTGGTGAAGGGTATCATATAGTCGGCCCGTCCGATTTTACTACTTTCCTTATTGGTTAAAAATATTTTTGAGGTCCACCAATAGACGTGGGTTTAAAAAAATGTTTAAAGGGCCATGAAGGCATCCGTTATTCTTTCCACAGAATTACTTCTAGCCACATAATCATATATTTAAATGACAACCGGAAATCTACAGGATCTTAATCTACATTTCCTGTTAACTGATATTCAACACAATCCGAAAATGTTTGAGTTGCCTGTCTGGTATTGTTATTCGATTGTGACACATCTCCGAGTTTCCTGAATTTAATGCCAAAAGCAACAGTTGAATATGAAAATGATGTCTATTCGTAGGATACTACATTACATTCGAACATTGTAATGCGGGTAAATACTACCCACATTATTTTTGGGTATTTGGCATCGGACAAGAGAACAAAGGGCCCCTTTAGCATAAATCCTTGGCAAACATAAATATGTATGCTTACTATGACATGAGTGTGTTTGGGTGTGTGAGTGAAAAGGAAGCTGAATAAGATGTTCGGAATATTCGTTTATTTCTGCAGCTGCTGCAAAATCGCAAGGACCTCTAAGCAAATCACCCATATCTTTGCGGTGAAATATGAACATTTTGAATTACATGCAGCCACCATTGATGATATATTTCCAATTTTTGGCGATTATTCTTGGGTTGTTGTAGGGCTGTGTGAGTTTGCGTGTGTGTATGTGTGATGGTATGAGTGAGTATGTGTTGTGAAAACGATATGAAATGTGAGTAAGATAATGGGCCAGATTATGCCACTTGCCATTTTTGTTTGTGAGGGGGTGGGGGGAAGATAATTCAATACCATGATATGGTAGCTAGAAATGTAATTGTAAACCATACACAGCTGAAGGGCACATGGAAAATGGATGGTAATCGAACGCATTCAAATGGAAAATAAAATAATACATACTTAATTGTGGGTACTTTAAAGTAATTATACCCTTCACCACACTGTGGTACAGGGTATTATGTCTTTGTGCATATGTTTGTAACAGGCAAAAATAATCGAGATAGACCCATGGTTCCTTTTGAGAATATGCATAGAATCACTTTCTGAGTCGATTTACGCATGTCCGTCTGTCCGTCCGTCCGTCCGTCCGTCCGTCCGTCTGTCCATGTTAAATTGTAAACAAAGTACAGGTCGCATTTATGATCCGAATTGGATGAAATTTGGCATAGGTCACTTATTTGGCCCAAGGACGAACCCTATTGAAATTGGGAAAAATCGGTTCAGATTTAGATATAGCTCCCATATATATATTTAACCGATTTAATGTAAACAGTCCCTATATAACTTTCGATTTGCACGAAATTTGGTACAGCCTAATCATTTAGGTCTAGAATGATGTCTGCCAAGTTTCGTGAAAATCGGTCCAGATTTAGATATAGCTCCCATATATAGTTTCGTCCGATTTCATGTAAATGGTGCCCCAAAGTCTCTATATATCTTTCGATTTGCACGAAATTTGGCATAACGTACTGAATTGAGTCTAGAATGGTGTCTGCCCAGTTTCAAGAAAATCGGTCCAGATTTAGATATAGCTCCCATATATAGTTTCGTCCGATTTCATGTAAATGGTGCCCCAAAGTCCCTATATATCCTTCGATTTGCACGAAATTTGGCATAACGTACTTAATTGGGCCTAGAATGATGTCTGCCAAGTTTCATGAAAATCGGTCCCGATTTAGATATAGCTCACATATATAGTTTCGTCCGATTTAATGTAAATGGGGCCCCAAAGTCCCTATATATCTTTCGATTAGCACGAAATTTGGTACAGCCTAATCATTTAGGTCTAGAATGATGTCTGCCAAGCTCCGTGAAAATCGGTCAAGATTTAGATATAGCTACCATATATAGTTTCGTCCGATTTCATGTAAATTGTGACCAAAGTCCATATATATCTTTCGATTTGCACGAAATTTGGTATAACGTACTGAATTGAGCCTAGAGTTATGTCTGCCAAGTTTCGTGAAAATCAGTCCAGATTTAGATATAGCTCCCATATATAGTTTCGTCCGATTTCATGTAAATTGTGCACCAACATCCATATATATCTTTCGATTTGCCCGAAATTTTGCACAACGTACTGAATTGAGCCTAGAGTGATGTCTGCCAAGTTTCGATAAAATCGGTCCATATTTCTATATAGCTCCCACATATAGTTTCGTCCGATTTCATGTAAATGGTTCACCAAAGTCGCTATATATCTTTCGATTTGCACGAAATTTGGCATAACGTACTGAATTGAGCCTAGAGTGATGTCTGCCTTGTTTCGTGAAAATCGGTCCAGATTTAGATATAGCTCCATTTTATTATAGATTGATTTTATGTAATTGACGCACCAAGGAACCAATAGGAACAAAACGTTCTAAAGTTAGTATAACCTAACCTGTGACAAGTTTGTTTGAAATCGCTTAATATGTGGATATAGCTTACATATATTTTTTCGCCCGATATCAAGCAAATTGGGCATCATACTCCTCATGTTAGTCAGATTGACATTAAATTTTGCACAACGTACAAAATTGAGCATAGAATTACGTAGTTGCGTTTTCTAGAAGTACAGACATAGTCAACCGGATGACCTATTTATATTTGTTTGAAGTCGATTTACACACTTTATGGACAAATCTAGGTAGATTCACATTTAGATAAATATCACATATTTTATTTCATCCAATTTCATGTTAATAGTCCTGTTTAATGTACCCATAGTGGTGAAGGGTATCCTAGAGTCGGCCCCGTCCGACTTTACTACTTTCCTTACTGGTTTTGAAAATGTTTTTAATATTTTTGGAGGAACCAAAAAAAAATTTTAGATTTTAAACTTTTTTTTTTTAATTTAAAATATTTTTTCCTAAATTTTCCTTTCTAATTTTTCTGTCATTTTTTTTCCTTGCAGAAAATGCCACCCGTTATTGCTTTCCCAATGGCACCTGGGACAATTATTCCAACTACGATAAATGCCATCATAACGTTGAGCTACCAGCGATACCGGATTTTTCACCTGGCGTCGAATTGCCCACCTACATCTACTGTTGTGGTTATTTTCTAAGTTTAAGCGCTTTGGTTTTAGCTTTAATTGTATTTCTATGCTTGAAGTAAGTAATCGACATGCGACCGATGAAACAATGCTTTCATTCATCTTTCATTTGCCAAGTTTATACAGCTCATTTAATTCCAATCACCCAGAGAAAAAGTTTACTTTAGAAAATGGCACAGTGGGATGATATTTAACAAATATTAATTTTTCTACTATATTTTTTCAAATATTTTTGAAAGTATATTATTTCAGGGACCATATGAGGCGTGGATTATTTAAAGAATATTTTTTTTCAGGAACTATGTAAGGCGTGGATTTTTAAGAGAATATTTTTTCCGGTTCTATGCAAGGCGTGGTTGGTTTAAAGAATATTTTTGAGGTCCTTTGTAAGGCGTGGATGTTTTAAAGAATATTTTTTCAAAGTCTATTTAAGGCGTGGATTTTTTAAAGATTATTTTTTCAAGGTCTATTTAAGGCGTGGATTTTTTAAAGATTATTTTTTCAAGGTCTATTTAAGGCGTGGATTTTTTAAAGAATATTTTTTCAAGGTCTATTTAAGGCGTGGATCTTATAAAGAATATTTTTTCAAGGTCTATTTAAGGCGTGGATTTTTTAAAGAATATTTTTTCAAGGTCTATTTAAGGCGTGGATTTTTTAAAGAATATTTTTTCAAGGTCTATTTAAGGCGTGGATTTTTTAAAGAATATTTTTTCAAGGTCTATTAAGGCGTGGATTTTTTAAAGAATATTTTTTCAAGGTCTATTTAAGGCGTGGATTTTTTAAAGAATATTTTTTCAAGGTCTATTTAAGGCGTGGATTTTTTAAAGAATATTTTTTCAAGGTCTATTTAAGGCGTGGATTTTTTAAAGAATATTTTTTCAAGGGTCTTTAGAAGGTGTGGATTTTTTAAAGAATATTTTTTCAAGGGTCTTTAGAAGGCGTGGATTTTTTAAAGAATATTTTTTCAAGGGTCTTTAGAAGGCGTGGATTTTTTAAAGAATATTTTTTCAAGGGTCTTTAGAAGAAGTCGATTTTTTAAATAATTCTTTCTAGGGTCTTTAGAAGGCGTGGATTTTTTAAAGAATATTTTTTCAAGGGTCTTGGATTTTTTCAAGGACTATTTGAGGCGTGGATTTTATGAAGGCGTGGATTTTTTAAAGAATATTTTTTCAAGGGTCTTTAGAAGGCGTGGATTTTTTAAAGAATATTTTTTCAAGGGTCTTTAGAAGGCGTGGATTTTTTAAAGAATATTTTTTCAAAGGTCTTTAGATGGCGTGGATTTTTTAAAGAATATTTTTTCAAGGGTCTTTAGATGGCGTGGATTTTGTAAAGAATATTTTTCAAGGGTCTTTAGAAGACGTGGAGTTTTTAAAGAATATTTTTTCAAGGGTCTTTAGAAGGCGTGGATTTTTTAAAGAATATTTTTTCAAGGGTCTTTAGAAGGCGTGGATTTTTTAAAGAATATTTTTTCAAGGGATTTTTGGATTTTTTTAAAGAATATTTTTCTTCTAAACATTGCGTAGATTTTTTAAAAAAATATTTTTTGTGTTTAAAAAATTGCGCCCACTGTTCCCCAAAATGTAATCTTCTCTTCAATCTCATTACAACCATCTCATTCTCAATTTTATTCGATTTAATCCATTGCAATAGTTAAACGTATTTTATGCGAATTTATTTTATTTTCTTTTTATTTTATTCAATTTTCTATTTTTTCTCGTTCTTTTTCTTCCTCCTCCTCTACTATGATTTTCTTTATTGCCTTACATTTGATTGTTCTCATTCGTGATATTGCCGTTCAATTACCGTTACGACAAACAAACAATAACAACGATGCGTAACTTACCTCCTAAACACCCTGACATTTATATGTAATCAACGTATGTGCACGGTTCCTGTGTTCCTGTTCTCCACCGCCGCCGTCAACACCAACTCCTCCATCGTAGAGACTTGAAATGCCTTCGGAATACAATTCATGCGAATTTATTTCTCACATATATTCTATCAGCCTTATTGTGGATATTAACGTTGTTCCTGCAAGTGGTAAGTAGTCACAGGCTCGACGAGGGTCTACACTGTGTGTTCTGTCTCTAGAAGTCCTTTGGAAGGTTTTCTGTGTCGGTAGGAGATCTTTAGAAGATTTTTTTGTTTTGTTGAAGATCCGAGGAAGATTTTCTGTCAGCAGGAGATCTGTGGTAGGTATTGTGCTCATAGAAGGCCTGTTGGATGTCTTCTGTGCCTCTAGAAGACCCATGGAAGGACTCGAGGCTCTAGAAGACATGTAGGACCACTCATGTCCCTTAAATATACCTGGAGGGTCTTCAGTCTCTACAAGTGGAAGATCTTTCATTCACAGAAGACCTGTGGAAGGTCTTCTTTCTGTAAAACTACTGAAGGCTCCAGGAGACATGTAGGATCACTCATGTCCCTTAAAAATCCCTGAAGGGTCTTCTGTCTCTATAAGTGGAAGATCTTTCATTCACTGAAGACCTGTATAACCTTCCAGAGAACTTCTTGAATCCTCTGAAACCCAATAGAGGGTCTCCTCAAGCAGATGCTGCAAAGTATCCTCTTCTGCCAACCTCACTAAACCGAGTCTATTTCATTTCCCCTTTTTTTATTCCATATAAAAACACTATGAGTGTGTATGTGTGGGATTGAAATGTCTAACCGTTTCCTGGCAAGTGTTAGCTATATATGTGTGTATGTATATGTGTTTGAGCATCTGTATGCATTAAATATGTCAATATGCCATTAAATGTCTTCTTAGATGCGTTAACATTAGATTAACTTAATGTCTGCTGTCATTGCCAAGCGGATATGTGTGTGTGAGTAGGAGAGTATGTGGATGTGTATGTCTGTGTGTGAGAGTGTCAGTGTTGATATTTCCTGTTGCTTCTACCATAAAAATTACTTCGAATCGCATAAGGTGTGAAATTAAATTCAATTAAAAATGTTTTAATCAATGTCTGATGTTGCTACTTTAACTCCTTGCTGAGATTTGAGAGGTGGGAGGTCAACTCCCCCATTCCCAGTAGGGGGTAAACGGTGCAGAATTTGATTTGATTTTCTCTTTTTCGTTTCTTTTTTTTACAGATGACAGATCACTCCAGTCAAGCTGGCTGCATTACACTAGTCATGATGTTCCATTATTTTAATTTAACGAATTTCTTTTGGATGTTTGTCGAAGGTAAGGATATGCAAATGTTTCAGGATCTGGTTTAAAAGAAAAATAAATTTTGTCAAGGAGGTTTTTAAAAAAAATTTTCAAAAAATTACGAAACGTGGATTTTTTAAAAATATTTTTTCAAGAATTCCCAGGGCTTGGATTTTTATATCCTTCACCACTCTGTGGTACAGGGTATGTCATTGTGCATATGTTTGAAACAATAAAAAAGGAAACGAGATAGACACATTGTACCTTTTGAGAAAATGCATAGAATCACTTTTTAAGTCGATTTATGCATGTACGTCCGTCGGTCCATGTTACATTGTAAACAAAATACAGGCCGCAGTTATTATCCGAATTGGTTGAAATTTGGTACAGCTCATCTATTTTGCCCAAGGACGAACTCTATTGAAATTGGGAAAAATCGGTTCAGATTTAGATATAGCTCTCATATATATTTTCGTCCGATTTAAGGTAAATGGTGCATCAAAGTACCTATATATCATTCGATTTTCACGAAATTTTGTATAGCGTACTATATTAAGTCTAGAGTGATGTGTGGTAAGCTTCATGAAAATCGGTTCAGATTTAGATATAGCTCCCATATATATTTTCGTCCGATTGTATGTAAATAGTGCACCAAAGTCCCTATATATACTTCGATTTGCACGAAATTTGGCACAGCGTACTGAATTAAGTCTAGAACGATGTGTGTTTAATTTCGTGAAGATCGGTTCATATTTTGATATAGCTCCCATATATATATTCGTCCGATTTCAAGTAAATAGTGCACCAAAGTCCCTATATATACTTCAGTTTGCACGAAATTTGGTACATTGTAATGAATTGAGTCTAGAATAATGTGTTGTAAGTTTCGGGAAAATCGGTTTAGATTTAGATATAGCTCCCATATATATATATATATATATATATATATATATATTCGTCCGATTTCAAGTAAATAGTGCACCAAAGTCCCTATATATCGTTCGGTTTGCACGAAATTTGGCAAAACGTACTGAATAAACCCTAGAACGATGTGTGTTAAGTTTCGGGAAAATCGGTTCAGATTTCTATATAGCTCCCAAATATATTTTCGTCTGATTTTAGGTAACTGGTGCACCAAAGTCCCTATATATCTTTCGATTTGCACGAAATTTCGTATAGCGTACTAAATTAAGTCTAGAACGATGTGTCTTAAATTTCGTGAAGATCGGTTCAGATTTTGATATAGCTCCCATATATATAAATATATATATATATATATATATATATATTCGTCCGATTTCAAGTAAATAGTGCACCAAAGTCCCTATATATCAATCGGTTTGCACGAAATTTGGCGTAACGTACTGAATAAACCCTAGAACGATGTGTGTTAAGTTTCGGGAAAATCGGTTCAGATTTCTATATAGCTCCCAAATATATTTTCGTCCGATTTTAGGTAACTGGTGCACCAAAGTCCCTATATATCCTTCGATTTACAGGAAATTTGGCATAGCGTACTAAATTAAGTCTAGAATGATGTGTGCTAATTTTCGTGAAATTCGGTTCAGATTTAGATATAGCTCTCATATATATTTTCGTCCGATTTTAGGTAAATTGTGCACCAAAGTCTCTATATATCCTTCGATTTGCACGAAATTTGGCAAAGAGTATTGAATTAAGTCTAAAATGACGAGTGATAAGTTTCGGGGTAATCGGTTCAGATTTCTATATAGCTCCCATATATATTTTCGTTCGATTTTATGTAAATGGTACACCAAAGTTCCTATATATCCTTCGATTTTCACGAAATTTTTCACAGTGTACTAAATTAAGTCTAGAACGATGTGTGTTGAATTTCGTGAAGATCGGTTCAGATTTCGATATAGCTCCCATATATATTTGCATCCGATTTTAGGTAAATAGTACACCAAAGTCCCTATATATCCTCAGATTTGCATGAAATTTGGCATAGCGTACTAAATTGAGTCTAGAACGATATGTGTTAAGTTTCGAGAAAATCAGTTCAGATTTCTATAGTGCACCAAAGTCCCTAAATATCTTTCGATTTTTACGAAATTTGACACAACGTACTGAAATCAGCCTGGGATGATGTGTACTAAGTTTCGTGAAATTCGGTTCAGGTTTAGATAAAGCTCCCATATATATTTTCGGTGCACCAAGGTGTCTATCTATCTTTCGATTTGCATGAAATTTGGCATAGCGTACTGTCTTAAGTCTAGAAAGATGCGTGTTTAATTTCGTGAAAATCGGTTTAGATTTAAATATAGCTCCCATATACATTTTCGTCCGATTTTAGGTAAATAGTACACCAAAGTCCCTATATTGAGTCTAGAATGATGTGTGGTAAGTTTCGGGAAAATCGGTTCAGATTTCGATGGAGCTCACACATATACGTATACATTTGTCCGAACGGGTGCTTGATTGAAATTAAATTTTTAATAGTGCGGCGTACCGAATAGCGTGCATTAATTTTGTATCAAATTTGGCCCATAGTACGCAGACGACTCTAAATCTGCCCGCATGAAATTAAATTTAGCATAGGTTGCAGAAAGATATGAGTATGTTCCTTCGAGGGAACATTGGCATACAACTGTAAGGATACATATGTACAATATATCCAAAGTGGTAAAGGGTATCATATAGTCGGCCTGTCCGACATTACTCATTTCCTTACTGGTTTAAACTGACAGTTTTTTAAATATTTTTTGTAATTCCTTTTCTTCCAGGTCTCTACCTTTACACTCTGGTGGTGCAAACATTTTCCAGTGATAATTTAGGTTTCCTGCAATATGCCCTAATTGGCTGGGGTAAGTATTCAGCACAAACATACTAGTTAATTACTATTAATTATAAAACATAATCAGTTATTATTATTTTTATTTTGACATTCAACAATCACGTTCTCACCATGCCTCCACCCTCCAAAATTAACTTTCATTCTAGGTTGCCCAGCTGTTATTGTTTTTGCCTGGTCGATAGCTAAAATCTATGCACCACCTTTAAATACCGAAAGATTTATTGGGGTAAGTGTACAGAAACAACAACAACAACAAAAAGACCATAATAATCAAATAATAACAATTTAATATTAGATTAATAAACAATTAGGAGTTGCTCTTGGGTTTTTTGGTGGGGACCCCAAAACAAAAGATAAAAGCCAAACTCACCGAAACGATAAGGCCATGGTATTGAGTTTCAATAAAGTGGCAATAAAATAAACAGACACACGTTCTAGTTTAGCCCAAATTTGTTTTCGGTGTGGTGTCTAGCGAATTTTCACTGGAAATTTTATTAAATGACGTCACGTCACTCGTTCAGCGAGTGATTTAAAAAAGAAAATATATTTTAAAGTTTGTTTGTTTTTTGGATGGTTGGTTGTCTGGCAATTTACCGCGCCAAGACCTTGTCGGAGGTTAATGAGTGTTTTGATTGTTGTTGTTCTTCTTTCTTTTTGTTATTAAGTCGATTTATTGAAATAATGAAAAAAGCAAAAATATTTTCTTTAATTACTTTGTATTTACGCCAAATTTAGCAATTACTACTAAAATTTAACAGCAGGATACTTTTGGGGGGAGGAAAATAAATTGTTGAATGTTTTATGAGATTCATAGCTGAAGTGGAAAACAAATTTTAAAAATATTTTTATTGAAAAAAAATATTCTTTGAAAAATCCACGCCTAATGTAGGTCCCTGAATAATAATATTCTTTAAAAAATCCACGCCTTATGTAGGTGCCTGAAAAAATATTCTTTAAAAAATTCACTCCTCATGTTACTTATTTACTTTCCTAACTGGCTTGTGACAGTACTTTCGTTCCATAAGCCGAGCTTAGAAAAGATTTCCAGGCGCCTCGGTCTTTTGTGCAGTTTTTCCAATTTGAAAGTTCATATTCGGCAATGTTATCTTCCACTTGATCTTTCCCTCTTATTCGAGGCCTTCCCCTTCTGCGTGAACCATCAGCTGGTTCGTTTTTATATGCCTTTTGAGCTGGGGCATCTTCATCCATTCTCACAACATGACCTAGCCAACGTAGTCGCTGCAGCTCAATAGTCTAACAATGTAGATGTCCGAGTATAGCTGGTACAACTTATGGTTCATTCGACGGCGATATTCACCGTCAACACAGATCGGCCCATAGATCTTTCGGAGAAATTTTCTCTCAAACACTCCAAGAGCTGTCTCATCTGCTTGCGCAAGTACCCATGCTTCAGATCCATATAACAGCACGGGTAGTATCAGCATCTTGTAGAGTGTGAATTTGGCGGGAGGGGGGAGGTGGCCTTGTTTCTAAAATGCTTACTTAGACCATAGCAGCATCGGTTGACCATCACAATCCTTCTCCGAATTTCAAAACTGTTTTCACTTGATCTTTCCATCGTATTCGTGGCCTTCCCCTTCTGCGTGAACCATCAGCTGATTCTCACAACATAACCTAGCCAACGTAGTCGCTGCAGCTCAATACGTCTAACAATGTCGATGTCCGAGAATAGCTGGTACAAATCATGGCTCATTCGACGGCGATATTCACTGTAAACGCAGATCGGCCCATAGATCTTTCAGATAATTTTTCTCTCAAACACTCCAAGAGCTGCCTCATCTGCTTGCGCAAGTACCCAAACTTCAGATCCATATAACAGCACGGGTAGTATCAGCGTCTTGTAGAGTGTGAGTTTGGTCTGGAGAGAGGTGGCCTTACTTATGAGTGGTTTGCTCAGACCATAGGATGCTCAGACCATCCTTCTCCGAATTTCAAAACTGATGTCATCCGTTTTATTTATGGCGGTACAATGGTATATAACCTCGAAGCTGTAGTTCTCAAGTTCCACAGTTGGTCTGAGTCTACTGGACGTCTTGCGCGTTGATACCATCAGCTTCTCGCCGTTTACTGTCAAACCCACTTTGGCAGACTACTTCTCAATTTGTTCAAAGGTGTTCGACCCTTTATGTCGATGTCAGTGTTGGGCCCATTATGTCGATGTCATCGGCGTAGGCGAGTAACTGGTGTTGTTTGGTGTACAGGGTACCATTTCTGTTCACCTCTCGTATGACCTTCTCCAGCAGAATGTTAAAAAGGTCACACGACAAACTGTCACCTTGTCTGAATCCTCGTTCAGTATTAAAGGGCTCCGAGAGCTCCTTTCCGACTTTAACTTCTAATCTTGTGCCAGTTAAAGTTATCCAGCATAGCCGAATTAATTTTGCAGGAATGCCAAACGGAGACATGGCTTGATACACCTCTGAACGGATAGGGCTATAGAATGCGGCTTTATAGTCGACGAATAGGTGGAATGTGTCGATGTGTTTTTCATGGGCTTTTTCCAGGATTTGGCGCAGAGTGAAAATCTGGTCAATGGTGGATTTCAAGGTCTGAAGCCGCATTGGTATGGTCCAATAATGTCATTGACCATTGGTTTCAGTCGTTCACACAGTAGGCTGGATAGCAATTTATATGCGATGGGAAGGAGACTTATTCCTCTATAGTTGGTAGATATCGTGTTGTCTATTTTTTTGTGCACGGGACACAGGATGCTGAGGTTCCAATCATATAGGCCCTTGAAAAAATATTCTTTAAAAAATCCACGCCTCATATAGGTCCTTGAAAAGATATTCTTTAAAAAATCCACGCCTCATATAGGCCCTTGAAAAAATATTCTTTAAAAAATCCACGCCTCATATAGGCCCTTGAAAAAATATTCTTTAAAATATCCACGCCTCATATAGGCCCTTGAAAAAATATTCTTTAAAAAATCCACGCCTCATATAGGCCCTTGAAAAAATATTCTTTAAAAAATCCACGCCTCATATAGGCCCTTGAAAACATATTCTTGCCTCATGTAGGCCCTTAAAAAAATATATCCTTGAAAATATATCCTTTAAAAAATCCAGGCCTCATATAGGCCCTTGAAAGAATATCCTTAAAAAATCCAAGCATTATATAGGCCCTTGAAAAAATACTCTTTAAAAATCCACGCCTCATATAGGCCCTTGGGAAAATATTCTTTAAAAAATCCACGCCTCATATAGGCCCATGAATTAATATTCATTAAAATATAAACGCCTCATATAGGCCCTCTGAAAAAATATTCTTTAAATTATCCACGCCTCATATATCCTTTAAAAAATCCACACTTGGGACAGGGCTTAAAAATATCCCTTTGAAAAATTTTCACAAAAAGAACGACTTGAAAAATATTCTTAAAAAATCCAAGCCTCACGTTGGGCCTTGAAAAAACATTCCTAAAAACATACCCACCTTCAATAGGCAGGAAAAGTATTTTTCTCCTTCTTTTAAATTTTTTGTTACACCTTTCACAAAATATTTGTTATTCATGCACTTTGAAGTGTTATGGAATTTAAGATGAGAGTACTATCTCATCTATCCAGTTCACTTTCATCTTCTTCCTTAGATGATTTATGTAAATTTGGCTACTCCACTCACTTTTCGTTTCCCCAGAAAAAAATGAATATTTGATTTTTTTCCGATTTTCCTGAAAATCAATTGTTTGCCGAGTACAAGATTGGGGATGTGTTTTTGCTTCGTCGATGTGATTGAAATATGTGTGTCGATAAAAGAAAATCTCAACGTAGCAGAGGACGGATAGTGTTGAATTGAATAAGAGGATATTTTCGAATAAAAAAAGGTTTGCCTATTCTTCTATGATTTACGACTATTTTATGAGATTATATCCGATAGCTACTTATTGATTTTCTTTAAAGGGAGAAATAATTCAATTTTATTTCTTTTTTGAAAATTAAAAAAAAATCTTTTTTAAAGGTGCCCTAGAGGCATACACACTTTGAAAGAAAATTTATTCACAATAATTTGTTCATTGTTATAATAAATTAAAGCAAAATATGCATAAATGATACCTTTACATTTACATATTTATGGCACACACACACATACAATGTCATTTGTGGCCTCAGGAAATCACCTGTCAACCACCAACGTAATTGTCCATATTTTATTTAGGCCTTTGGCATATCAATCTCATGTATCGTATACGAGTATCCGGCATTATGTGGTCGACCTTATGACTTCAGGATATTTGCATAATCATGTTTATCATTAATAATATTCTGATTGATTATTGTCATGTTACAGATAGACACACACACACAGGCAAAGGAAATTCACATTAGAATATCTCATATCGCCAAATACAAATGCACCAGGACTATTTTACAACAATGTTGAAGGGATTACTAGATTTTTTATTTAATATTAATATATTTATCCTTGCCACATGCCTCTAGGCGTAGATTTTTTAAAATTATTATTTCTGTGGCATGCCTCTAGGCGTGGATTTTTAAAGTTATTATTTTCGCAGCATAACTCTAGGCGTGGATTTTTAAAGTTATTATTTTCGCAGCATAATCCTAGGCGTGGATTTTTAAAGTTATTATTTTCGCAGCATAATTCTAGGCGTGGATTTTTAAAGTTATTATTTTCGCAGCATAATCCTAGGCGTGGATTTTTAAAGTTATTATTTTCGCAGCATAATTCTAGGCGTGGATTTTTAAAGTTATTATTTTCGCAGCATAATTCTAGGCGTGGATTTTTAAAGTTATTATTTTCGCAGCATAATTCTAGGCGTGGATTTTTAAAGTTATTATTTTCGCAGCATAATTCTAGGCGTGGATTTTTTCAATTAATATTTTTAAGGCATTTATACCACATGTCTCCAGAAATTATCAAATGATGTTGCTATAGTTCCTGAGCTCCCCATGGTTTTAAATATTTTTTATTAACTTCCTCAGTTAAAATTACTTGGGCTCAGTCGGAAACGGAAATTCAATTAAGATTTTTGTTGTCAGAATTAAAAAAATACAACAACTACAGCATAACCATCAAAAGCTCAGGCATTTGAAACAAATCAAATATTAACTGAGCTGTACCAGTTGTTACTCTAGTTCGTAACATGAATCGTTAGGAACAGTGGTCGGATTTTCAAAGAAAAATTGTGAGATATTAATAGAATATTTTTCAAGTCCCATGCAAGGCGAGGAGTTTTAAAAGAATATTTTTTCAAGGCCCACATTTAAAAAAAAGGCGTGGATTTATTAAAGAATATTTTTTCAAGGCCCATAAAAGCGTGGATTTATTAAAAGAATATTTTTTCAAGGCCCATAGAAGCGTGGATTTATTAAAGGAATATTTTCTCAAGGCCCATACATGGCGTGGATTTTTAAAGGAATATGTTTTTAAGGCCCATACAAGACGTTGATTTGTAAGGGATATTTTTTCAAGGTCCATACAAGACGTTGATTTGTAAGGGATATTTTCTCAAGGCCCATACAAGGCGTGGATTTATTAAAGGAATATTTTTTCAAGGCCCATACAAGGCGTGGATTTTTAAAGGAATATTTTTTCAAGGCCCATACAAGGCGTGGATTTTTAAAGGAATATTTTTTCAAGGCCCATACAAGGCGTGGATTTGTAAGGGATATTTTTTCAAGGTCCATACAAGACGTTGATTTGTAAGGGATATTTTTTCAAGGCCCATACAAGGCGTGGATTTATTAAAGAATATTTTTTCAAGGCCCATACAAGGCGTGGATTTATTAAAGAATATTTTTTCAAGGCCCATACAAGGCGTGGATTTATTAAAGAATATTTTTTCAAGGCCCATACAAGGCGTGGATTTTTTAAAGAATATTTTTTCAAGGCCCATACAAGGCGTGGATTTATTAAAGGAATATTTTTTCAAGGCCCATAGAAGGCGTGGATTTATTAAAGGAATATTTTTTCAAGGCGTGGATTTATAAAAATTTATTTTTTAAGAAATTTTTTCTTCAATTCCTTTACAAAGCTTTCCCTAAAAATATCCCCCATTGTCCCATTTGAAATTAGAAATTGTTTAGGTTGGTTTGTAATCCTTCATACACTCTGACATGTAAACACACAACACACACACATACTCACTCTCCCATATGCATGTATGCACACATGCATCATCATGTGCCTAGGAATGCTCTGTTCACAGATTCCCCTGCCAGATTTCAGATTCAGGCAATTCTGGAATTTCCTTCTATTGCATTTTTTTTTTAAACTTCATTCATTCATTTCGATAGTGAATTGATGTGGAAATGTGGATGTGAATATAAATCTGATGGGCTGTTGGTGTTTTTATTGTGATTGTCGATGTTGTTGTTGTTCATTCTTCACTATATGCTATGGCAGTTTTTGGTGTTAGAGCAAATAACTATGAGTGCTAAATGCCGAACAGTCATAGAGCGAAAAAAGGAATGTAGAAATTGTTTATGTGTTATTTATAAAGAATTGTATATTGGGGTGTAATCTCGAAGGATATAATATCAATGCCAAATAATAATTTTACAGCATACCTCCAGTATTTTTTAAAACAATGTTTTTATAGTATACCACTAGGCGAAAATTTATTAAGACAATAGTTTTACAGCATACCTCAAGGCGTGATGTTTTTAAGACAATAGTTTTACGGCATACCTCTAGGCTAGAATTTTTCAAGACAATCTTTTTGCAGAATACCTTATGGGTGTTTAAAATACTTTTACAGCATACCTCATAGGCGTGATTTTTTAAAACAAATTTGTTTCCTTCTATTTTTTAAAATATATTTTCTGCAGGGTTATTCAATGATCTGATCATTTCTTCCAAACATTTTTTATTTTCTAATCCTTGCTTTTTTTAACCATTCTACCCTAATACCCACTTAACTATGCAATCATAAATAACAAATACAGTTTCCAGCTGGTAAACAACAGGAACTCTTAAACTCAATTCAAATATATCTCTGGAAATTGTTAGATTTTTAATTGTGAACATTTAAAGAGTAATTGAAAAAGAAAAAGAAACTAAAACTTTTCTAAAGAAAATAATTCCATTCGGAAAACAATTTTAATAAAATGTGAAAAATTAATTTTCAAAGCTACATAAAAATGCATTTTAATTGCGTCATATCGACATTTGAGATTAAAAATTATTTTCTTTTTCTAATTACAGTTGGATGTTGAATGTCCCTGGATGAGCGAATCTCACATAGACTGGATACTGCAGGGTCCCACGTCATTGGTGTTAATTTTAAATTTGTCCTTTCTGCTCAGGATTATGTGGGTAAGTTAAAATTGAAGTTTTCAAATTAATATTTTTGTAGTACAACTTTAGGCGTACTTTTTCACATTAATATTTTTTGTAGCATACCTCTAGGCGTTGATTTTTTTTCAATTAATATTTCTGTAGCATAAATCCAGGGGTGGGTTTTTTGATCTAATATTTATATATCTAGGCGTGGATTTTTTAATTAATATTTCTGTAGCATAACTCTAGGCGTGGATTTTTTAAATTAATATTTCTATAGCATAACTCTAGGCGTGGATTTTTTAAATTAATATTTCTATAGCATAACTCTAGGCGTGGATTTTTTGAATTAATATTTCTATAGCATAACTCTAGGCGTGGATTTTTTAAATTAATATTTCTATAGCATAACTCTAGGCGTGGATTTTTTAAATTAATATTTCTATAGCATAACTCTAGGCGTGGATTTTTTAAATTAATATTTCTATAGCATAACTCTAGGCGTGGATTTTTTAAATTAATATTTCTATAGCATAACTCTAGGCGTGGATTTTTTAAATTAATATTTCTATAGCATAACTCTAGGCGTGGATTTTTTAAATTAATATTTCTATAGCATAACTCTAGGCGTGGATTTTTTAAATTTATATTTCTATAGCATAACTCTAGGCGTGGATTTTTTAAATTAATATTTCTATAGCATAACTCTAGGCGTGGATTTTTTAAATTAATATTTCTATAGCATAACTCTAGGCGTGGATTTTTTAAATTAATATTTCTATAGCATACCTCTAGGCGTGGATTTTTTAAATTAATATTTCTATAGCATACCTCTAGGCGTGGATTTTTTAAATTAATATTTCTATAGCATACCTCTAGGCGTGGATTTTTTAAATTAATATTTCTATAGCATACCTCTAGGCGTGGATTTTTTAAATTAATATTTCTATAGCATACCTCTAGGCGTGGATTTTTTAAATTAATATTTCTATAGCATACCTCTAGGCGTGGATTTTTTCATGTATATTCCTTTGGCATAACTCTAGACGTGATTTTTTATTTTATATTTCTGTAGCATAACTCTAGGTGTGAATTTTTTGCATTTATATTTCTGTAGCATAACTCATAGCCTTCCCCTTCTGCGTGAACCATCACCTGGTTAGCTTTTATATGCCTTTTTGGCTGGGGTACCTTCATCCATTCTCACAACATGACCTAGCCAACGTAGTCGCTGCAGCTCAATACGTCCAACAATGTCGATGTCCGAGAATAGCTGGTACAGCTCATAGTTCATACGACGGCCTTGATTTTGAGTTGTTTGCTCAGACCATAGTAGCATCTTTTGGCCATCAATATCCTTCTCCGAATTTCAAAACTGATGTCATTCGTTTTGTTTATGGCAGTACCAAAGTATATAAAATCTTTGACTACCTCGAGGCTGTAGTTCTTAAGTTCCACAGTTGGTCCGAGTCTACTGGACGTCTTGCCCGTTGATACCATCAGCTTGATCTTTCGCCGTTTACTGCCAGACCCACTTTGGCAGACTCCTTCTCAATTTGTTCAAAGGTGGCTGTTACTACTCTCAGTGTTCGACCCATTATGTCGATGTCATCGGCGTAGGCGAGTAACATGTGTTGTTTGGTGTACATAGTGCCGTTTCTGTTAACTTTTACTTCTCCTATGACCTTTTCCAGCAGGATGTTAAAAAGGTCACACGACAAACTATCACCTTGTCTGAATCCTCGTTCGGTATGAAAGGGCTCCGAAAGGTCCTTTCCGAATTTAACTGCTGATCTTGTGCCAGTTAAAGTTATCCTGCATAGCCGAATTAATTTTGCAGGAATGCCAAACGCAGACTTGGCTTTATACACCTCTGAACGGATGGAGCTGTCGAATGCGGCTTTATAGTCGACGAATAGGTGGAATGTGTCGATGTGTTTTTTGTGGGGTTTTTCCAGGATTTGGCGCAGAGTGAAAATGTGATCAATGGTGGATTTTCCAGGTCTGAAGCCGCATTGGTATGGTCCAATAATGTCATTGACCATTGGCTTCAGTCGTTCACACAGCACACTGTATAGCACTTTATATGCGACACATGGGACATATCGTCTTGTCTCCTTTTTGTGCACGGGACACAGGATGCTGAGGTTCCAATCATTGGGCATGCTTTCCTCTAGTCAAATTGTACAAATCAGCTGGTGCATGCTCCTTACCAGCATCTGACCACCTGAATAGTTCGGCTTGTAACCCATCGGCACCAACTGCTTTATTATTCTTCAGCCGATTAATTGCTTTTCTGACTTCATCTTGGCTAGGTGGTATACACTCTATACCGTAATCTATTATTGGTTCTGGGGTATCCTCTTCACCGCTACTATTTGATACCAGAAGTTTTTCAAAATGCTCCTTCCAGATCCTCGATACGCTCTCTGTATCTGTCACCAGATTTTCTTTTTCATCTCTACAGGAGGATGTGCCTGCACCAAAGATTCCGTTTGGTGGTTTACTCGTTGGTAGAATTTTCGAACTTCATTCTGAGTCCTGTACATCTCGATTTGCTCACGCTCACGTTTTTCTTGTTCTTTCTTCTTTTTTTCTGAAAATACATTTCTCCTCTCTCATTTTCTCCTGTTAGTTCTCCATCGCATTATGTGTTGTTACTGTCCGAAGGGTTGCCCTATATGCTGCGTTTTTCATATCAGTAGCATTACGGCACTTAGCATACCTAGAGGTGTGGATTTTTTATATAATTTTTCTTAGCATATCCTTAAGCCGGAATTTTTTTCAAATAATATTTATTAGCATAAATTTAGGCTTTGATTTTTAAGTAATATTTCTTAGCATATCATTAGGCGTTCAATTTTTTTAAATAATATTTCATAGCATATCATTAGGCGTGCAATTTTTAAATAATATTTGTTAAGCCTCTATTGGGTCTAATACCCTTTCGAAGGCCTCAAGAGTATGTTCTACCAGTGGAAGACCTCTGGTGTAAATTCCTAAATTTTCATTTGCACCTGAGTGTATCTTAAATAGTTCTCTTACGTACCGGATATTAAAATCAGCATTACATCCTTCTATGACATCGACTCGATAAAATTTCCGTTTCATTTTTGCTTCCTTGTTTATCACAACCGAACAGCATTCAAGCTTGTGGCATTTCATTTTCTTTAACAAGTTTTCATTTTGTGTTTTTTTTCTATTTCTTTCCCTCTCCTGTTCCCCCACACCGCATTGATGCTGCTGTTGTCACAGGTGCTGATAACAAAACTACGTTCAGCCAATACCTTGGAGACCCGACAATACCACAAAGCATCGAAGGCATTACTTGTCCTTATACCACTGTTTGGCATAACTTACCTGCTGGTGCTGGTGGGTCCCGAACAGGGTATCAGTGCCAATGTTTTTGATAATGCAAGGGCGTTTTTAATTAGCACACAAGTAAGTAGCAGGTCCAGTCAGAACACAAAAATCAAAAAATCTCAATTTCAACAAAAAAATAATTTTAATTTGTTTTTGTATTTTTCATTCTGTTACCATTTCCTTTCAGGGCTTTTTTGTGTCGCTGTTCTTTTGCTTCCTCAATTCGGAGGTACGTCAAACACTGCGGCATCGTTTCAACAGATGGCGCGACCACCGCAATTTAAGTCATGGCAATTCACAAAGGAATCGCAGGTAATATTGCTTTTACGAAAAATATACCAACACACACACACATGAACAAATGACCTGCCCCCCACCCCTCACCATCAACTTTCGTAAACGACCCTCCCAACCCACACACAAAAACAAAACAAAAATTGCACACAATTTTTGTGTCCCTGAAAAAAAAAAATGTTTATGGACGTCGTCCTTATGTTTTGTTGCTCTTATCCTTACATGGTAATTAGTTGAAGTTCTATGTTTGTATTTCTTTGTATTCGTTGTTGTTGTCATTGTTCGTAACAAAAAAAAATTATAACCTAAATTAAGTAGCTTTGTGAAACTCTCCCATTTCATTAAATTGCTGTTGTTTGTTTTGGAATAGTTTGGGGGCATTTAAAAAATATTTTTTCAAAAACTAACATGGGCGTGGATTATTTAAAAAAATATTTTTTGAAGGACTTCAATAGGCGTGGATTTTTTAAAAATATTTTTTGAAGGACTTCAATAGGCGTGGATTTTTTAAAAATATTTTTTGAAGGACTTCAATAGGCGTGGATTTTTTAAAAATATTTTTTGAAGGACTTCAATAGGCGTGGATTTTTTAAAAATATTTTTTGAAGGACTTCAATAGGCGTGGATTTTTTAAAAATATTTTTTGAAGGACTTCAATAGGCGTGGATTTTTTAAAAATATTTTTTGAAGGACTTCAATAGGCGTGGATTTTTTAAAAATATTTTTTGAAGGACTTCAATAGGCGTGGATTTTTTAAAAATATTTTTTGAAGGACTTCAATAGGCGTGGATTTTTTAAAAATATTTTTTGAAGGACTTCAATAGGCGTGGATTTTTTAAAAATATTTTTTGAAGGACTTCAATAGGCGTGGATTTTTTAAAAATATTTTTTGAAGGACTTCAATAGGCGTGGATTTTTTAAAAATATTTTTTGAAGGACTTCGTGGATTTTTTAAAAATATAGGCGTGGATTTTTTAAAAATATTTTTTGAAGGGACTTCCATAGGCGTAGATTTTTTAAAAATATTTTTTGAAGGACTTCAATAGGCGTGGATTTTTTAAAAATATTTTTTGAAGGACTTCAATAGGCGTGGATTTTTATCAATTATTTTTTGAAGGACTTCAATAGGCGTGGATTTTTATCAATTATTTTTTTAAGGATTTTAATTGGCGTTAATTATTTAAGCATAGATTGTGATATTTGAATCATTTTATATCACCTTACCCTTGTGTTGAAACTAACCCACTAACATTTCTCTAATAAAATTTAAAATATCTGATCCCCCTTTTTAAAATGCTTCGAAATACTAACTCAGACAGCAAACTGCATTCATTTTATTTATTTACTTTCTTTTTTATTTCTGAACAGGAGTCGTTTATCCAAAGACTATTCGCAACGGTCCCGAACAGAAAGTTCACGGTAAGTACACAAACAAGTAGCAGAACATCACATCAACATTTGTCAGGAGAATTAATTCAAACATTGTCTACTTTTCTTTAAAAAATGAACTACATAATGAAAAGAAATTTAATAATGACAAAGAATATGGAAAAAGAAAAATAAAAAGTCTCAAAAAAAAATTTTTTTATTGCTAATTTAGTCAGTACTTTGCTGTCCATCTAATTTGCTCATTATTCCTAGCTTGTTTCAGTTTATTCATTTTTTCTTATTTCACTCATAATTTTCACAACAATAAATTTTCACTTTAAAAGGCATTGCACGTTGCACACTCGACCAGTGGATGATGTTGCAAGTTGGCATTATTCGTTATTGTCTTTTATTTCAGTTTATTTTTCTTTCTCTTTCGATGCTCGTTGTTATGTATTGTTTAATTAATCACTTGTACTAACTAACTAATTCGGTACACCCACTATCACTCATACACATCCACACACACACTCACATAGAGGAGACATGGATGGATGCAGCATCGAAGGACCCTCATTTGAAACAGAAAAAAAGGACAAATTAAATGCCACTAGATGTAAGAGCGAGGTATATGAGGGGAGGGTAAAAGGAAAGAAATATTACAGCATATTTATACAGGATCAGATACTATATAAGGCGTGGATTTTTTAAAGAATATTTTTTTCGGGGTCTTTACAAGGCGTAGATTTTTTTAAAGAATATTTTTTCAGGGCCTTTACAAGTCGTGGATTTTTTAAAGAATATTTTTCCGGGTCTTTACAAGGCGTGGATATTTTAAGGAAGAAGAGGCATGTAGTTTTTAAAGAATATTTTTTCAATGTCTTCTGGGCAACATATTTAAGAAGTCTAGAAGGGGTGTGGACTTTTCAAAGAATATTTTTTCGAAGCCTTGAAGAGGCGTGAATTTTTCAAAGGATATGTTTTCGAAGCCTAGAAGAGGCGTGGATTTTTCAAAGAATATTTTTCAGGGATTATATAAGGCATGGATTTCTGTAAGGAATATTTTGTCAGGGTCTAGAAGATCTTAGAAGAGGCTTAATGGCGTTATTATTATTTATTTATTTATTTATTTATTTTTTGAAAATATTAAATGTATGATTTAAAAAAATATATTTTTCGCTTTGAACCTTAAATCATTGTTTAATTATACCCTTCACCACACTGTGGTACAGGGTATTATGTCTTTGTGCATATGTTTGTAACAGGCAACAGAAATCGAGATAGACACATGGTTCCTTTTGAGAATATGCATAGAATCACTTTTTAAGTCGATTTACGCATGTCCGTCCGTCCACGTATTTTTGTGAACAAAATACAGGTCGCCAAGGACGAACTCTATTGAAATTGGGAAAATCGGTTCAGATTTAGATATAGCTCCCATATATTTTGCGTCGGATTAAATGTAAATGGTTCACCAAAGTCCCTAAATATCTTTCGATTTGCACGAAATTTGGTATAGCTTACTGAAATAAGCCTAGAATAATGTGTGCCAAGTTTCCTGAAAATCGGTTCAGTTTTAGATATAGCTCTCATCTATATTTTCGTCCGATTTAAGGTAAATGGTGCACTAAAGTCCCTATATATCTTTCGATTTGCACAAAATTTTGCATATCGTACTGAATTGAGTGTAGATTAATGTCTGCTAAGTTTCGTGAAAATCGATTCAGATTTAGATATAGCTTTTCGGTCTGCTAAGTTTCGTAAAAATCGATTCAGATTAAGATATAGCTCCCATATATATTTTCGTCCGATTTAAGGTAAATAGTGCACCTATATATCTTGCGATTTGCACGAAATTTGGCACAGCGTTCTGAATTTGGAAATCGGTTTAGATTTGGATATAGCTCATATACATATTCTCGTCCGATTTTGTGTAAAAGGTGTACCAAAGCCTCTACATTCCTTTCGATTTGCACGAAATTTGGCATATCGTACTGAATTAAGTCTGGAATTATGTGTGCGAAGTTTCGTGAAAATCGGTTCAGATTTAGATATAGCTCCCATATATTTTTGTCCGATTTAATGCAAATGGTGCACCCAAGACCCTATATATTATTCGATGTGCACGAAATTTGGCACAGTGTTCTGAATTTGGTCTGGAGTCATGTCTGCCCAGTTTCGTGGAAATCGGTTTAAATTTTGATATATCTCACATACATATTCTCGTCCAATTTTGTGTAAAAGGTGTACCAAAGCCTCTACCTTTCTTTCGATTTGCACGAAATTTGTATAGCGTACTGAATTAAGCCTAGAATGATGTGTGTTAAATTTCGTGAAAATCGGTTCAGATTTAGATATACCTCCCATATATATTTTCTTCCGATTTTAGGTAAATGGTGTGCCAAAGTCCCTATATACCGTTCGATTTGCACGAAATTTGACATAGCTTACTGACTTAAGTCTAGAATGATGTGTGTTAATTTTCCTGAAAATGCAGATTTAGATATATCTGCCACATATATATTTTCGTCCGATTTTAGGTAAATCGTGCACCAAACTCCTCCGATTGACACGAAATTTTGCTCAAGGTATTCAATTCAGACTAGATTGATTGCGCTTTTTTTGTAATGGGTGCAGATGCAGACATAGCTTCCATATATATTTCGAACGGTTGTCTGATTGATATTATCGTATCAAGTATGCTACAAATCGATTTACTTAAATTTGTCCTATTGAAATTTAGCATAGGTTGTAGAAAAGCATGTATATGGAATGATGTTAGTCGGTTCATTTATTGATAAAGATCAAATCAAAACAATTGTTTTTAATGGCATTAAAAAAATGAGAATACCCGTATGTAGAATATACCCAAAGTGGTGAAGGGTATCATATAGTCGGCCCAGCCCGATTTTACTACTTTCCATACTGGTTTAGGGACTATAGAAGGGCCTATAGAAGGCATGGATTTTTTGTGAGGAATATTTTTTCAGGGGCTATAGAAGGCATGGATTTTTGTAAGGATTTTGTTTCGGATTCTGCTAATGATGTGGATTTTTTAAAGTATTTTTTTTTATTTCAAATGCATGCATTTTTTTAAAAAATATTATTTTTCTCCCAGAGCCTTGAATCCTTGTTTAATTTTTATTTTTCATTTATGCATTTTTTTTATCAAACTTTATTTAAATAAATTTAACTAACTTAGGAGATGCGGGCTATAAAAAAATGTGCTGAATAAACTGCACCCACACATACTCGTGCACATAATTACAAAAGTTTTACGAGAACAAAATACAAATTTTGAGCAAATGTCGTGGCTTGGGGGGTATTCCCTCTCATTATAGCACTGGCGGAGACAATGTTACGATTTACGTAAATGGGGTGTCTGTGGAGGAGAATTACAAAGAGAGATTTTAAATTCTGTCAATGATATTGAGGATGCAGACAAATTTTATAAACGAACGTATAACGCCATATCCCAAAAAGGCCAACAATGTTCCATTTTCGAAAAAAATCCTTTAAAGGATCAAAATTTCCTTCGAAAAAAATCCAACATTACCACACCCAGTATCCAGTGGTCTCGGTCTCGTCTACTTATCCCCAAAACAAGACTGGTTACAAGCCCGCAAATCTGTATATCCTCTCTTCATCCTTATGTATGAATATGTATGTGTGTATCTGTGTTTGTGCATTTTGCCATAGCCTCAAGCTTACTTTATAAAATATTTATGCGTTTGTCTTGTTCTTGGCGCAGTAAAACATAACAACAACACCAGCAGCAAAAAATGCAACAATCTCAGAAAAAAGAAAAAATATATAAAACAAACATCCGCCACTACATTATGCGAGGTGGTGTGACTCGATCTCGAAAATCCTCTACTAGCTAAGCGGGAGAGGGAGCAGCAATAGTTCAAATAACTAAAAAAAAAACACAAAATCCATTAGTCTTGACATAAAGTGGGAATGTGTGACTGTGTATGTGTTTGTATAAGCTATGAAGCGATTTACTTAAATTGTTAATTAAAAGCATATCAAAGCATACCAAATGTTAAAGTAAATAAACAGAAACTATAGCATTTAATATAAAATATGTTTTCAAGGACTACTAAAAATGAGGATATAAAAAAATATTTTTAAAGGGCTACGAAAGGTGTGGATTAAAAAAAAAAAATAAAATATTATATTTCCATGAAAAATAAATTGAAAACAAAAAAAAAACATTTTTTCGAAAAATACTGTTCTCAAGGATTTTCAAATGTTTAAGTTCTTTTGTACCAATATCACTATTGTTTTTGGGAAAGATCGGCTAATACTTAGGGGATGATATGGACCAAAAACATTTTTGTCTGATTTTCTGGTCGCTCCAGAGGACGAAATTATGGTCCAAACATCGCAAATTTTTACATGGAGAAGGGGATCGGGCAAAAGAATAAGCATGCCTGTTTTAATAAAGATCGGTCAATATTTAGTAGGTCAAATGGATCCCGACTTTTGTGTGAAAAATTAAAAAATATATATATTCTATAGCGTATATATTTACCCCTGAAGGATATAGACCCAAGAAGTTGAGAGTATATCCAAGAGCAGTGGTTGACCTCTAAATTGATACCATTGCCGTATGTACTCGGATATGGAAGTTGTACTTAAGTATTTACAGGTGCTTACGTATTCATATATTATTTAGTTAGCTATTACCACACAAGAGGGCGGAAATATAGCGCTGATCGCTTTGAAATTTTCCATGAGGGTCCAGGTATGGTCAAGGACAACGCTTATAATTTTCGTTGATGGCCAGATAGTAATATTGGGATGAATTAGACCGAAAACTTATGTTTTTGTGTGTGTGTTTTTTTTTTTTTTTTTTTTTTGAGTTGATCTTTAGGCCACAATTGAAAGCCCAACATCACAACATAACCCACGGTAAAGAGAATCTGGACAAGTACAGCCCTCGTCTACTGAATATTAGAAATATTTGTCATCTTGACGGTCAAGAGGGTGCAAATATTGCGAAATATGGCCCAAGCTCTGAATATAGAACCATAGAAAGTTGAATTTTCGTGGAAGAAGTGTAGGGTATCATATGGGCGGCCTCGTCCTACTATACTGCTAAGCTCACTGGATTATATTTGAAAATAATTTTTTTTTTTGATTAAGGGCGTATACATGGACGGACGGACATGCATAAATCGATTCAGAAAGTGATTCTATGCATATTATCAAAAAGAACCATGGGTCTATCTCGTTTCCTTTGCCTGTTACAAACATATGCACACAGACATAGTACCCTGTACCACAGTGTGCTGAGGAATTTTTATACCCTTCACCACACTGTGGTACAGGGTATTATTTCTTTGTGCATATGTTTGTAACAGGCAAAAGGAAACGAGATGAACACATGGATCCTTTTGAGAATATGCACAGAATCACTTTCTGAGTCGATTTACGCATGTCCGTCCGTCCATGTATTTTTGTGAACAAAGTACATGTCACATGTATGATCCGAATTGAATGAAATTTGGCATATGTCACTTATTTGGCCCAAGAATGAACCCTATTGAAATGGGAAAAATCGGTTCAGATTTAGATATAGCTCCCATATATATTTTCATCTGATTTAATGTAAATGGTGTACCAAAGTCCGTATATATCTTTCGATCGAAATTTGGCACAGCGTAATGAATTAGGTCTAGAATAATGTGTGTTAAGTTTCGTGAAAATCGGTTCAGATTTAGATATAGCTCCCATATATAGATTCGTCCGATTTAAGGTATATAGTATACCAATGTCCCAATATATATTTCGAAGGACGTAGATTAAAAAAAAACTATTTGAAAATAAATATATATACAACATAAATATAGAAAATTTTCAGTGGGTAGATAATAAAAATATTTTTTTATAATTTTTTTTAATATTTATTTCAAAAATGTATAGGGCATATATTTTTTAATGATTTTGCAGGCGTATTTTTTTAAATATATATTTCAATGGCTATAAAAATGATTTATCAAGGATTAGATAAACTTTTTTAATAATAATAGATTTTTTGAAATATATATATATATATATATATATATATGTTAAAGAAATATAAAAAATGTACATTTTTATAATCAGAATTTTTTACACAATATTTCCACATTTATCACTGCATTTTACATCTCATCATACTCACGGCTTATATATTTAATGTTAATATTTATTTATTTTTTAATTCGCTTTTCTAAATTTAATAATATTAATTTATTTAATTTTTATTTTTTAATTTTAGATTGACCTCCACCAGTCCCCTATCAACGGGTCACTTTGAATGATTTTATACCTTTTTATTAATGCCATCCTGCATGTATCCCGCTCATTATTTATCTGTGTTAATACCTCCGATCTGTTAAGTTTACTTTTTTAAGCTATTAATAGTTTTTAAGTTAATTAAATTGTAAATAAATTTTTTTGGAAAAAAACATGTTTTTTTAAATTTATATTTTGTAAATAAAAAATGAGAAGCAGATATTTTCTGAAAAAAATGCGAGTCACTTGCTTTGAATATTAAATCCTATTTTTTTTATTTGAGGGGGAATAGTCTTCCAAATTTTGGGTTTGTTATAAATTTTTGATAATTTTCGTAAATATTCTCTTCATATTTGATTCCTCTCTTTTTCCCTTCATATTTTTTTTAATTTTGTTTTTTTCATATTTTCAGAACTGAAGAGTATTTCATTTGCCTGCGTCCCTAGCAACGTGGTGCCCGCTGCTCCCTGCAGCCCTCAACTACGACACGCACCGACTGGGTTTAATTTTCCACACAAATGGTTCGGACAAATCGAATCCTTCTCATTGGAAATGCTGTTGCCCATTTTGCTCAACTTAATTAGCATGGAGAGAGAAGAGGTACTCCAAACTTGGGAACAAAGTTTCCCATATAATCACATGTGGGAAAGGTGTATGGATGGATGGATGTCGATGACACCTGGTCATAGTAAACTAACATCCAATTACAAATGTTATGGGATCCCATAACTATGTATGTAAAATGTACAAAAAATCGAATACTCACTGGATTGAATGAAATGCGAAAACCCAACATTTAGAAGAAGGATTGGGAAAGGACTTTTTGAAAAACAAATTAAATAAATATTTCGATGGTTTTAAAAAATTGTGTAAATAAATAATTAAAATTGTGCAATATATACAATAAGAACATTTAAATTTATTTATTGTAAATTATGTAAATAAAGTTCATAGTTCGAAAACAAGCGGAAATTGTAACCGACTTCAATTTGTTTCAAGGGTCTACATAAGGCGTGGATTTTTTAAAGAATATTTTTTCAAGGGTCTACATAAGGCGTGGATTTTTTAAAGAATATTTTTTCAAGGGTTTTTAAGGGTCTACATAAGGTGTGGATTTTTTAAAGAATATTTTTTCAAGGGTCTACATAAGGCGTGGATTTTTTAAAGAATATTTTTTCAAGGGTCTACATAAGGCGTGGATTTTTTAAAGAATATTTTTTCAAGGGTTTTTAAGGGTCTACATAAGGTGTGGATTTTTTAAAGAATATTTTTTCAAGGGTCTACATAAGGCGTGGATTTTTTAAAGAATATTTTTTCAAGGGTCTACATAAGGCGTGGATTTTTTAAAGAATATTTTTTCAAGGGTCTACATAAGGCGTGGATTTTTTAAAGAATATTTTTTCAAGGGTCTACATAAGGCGTGGATTTTTTAAATAATTTTTTCCAGGGTCTACATAAGGCGTGGATTTTTTAAATAATTTTTTCCAGGGTCTACATAAGGCGTGGATTTTTTAAAGAATATTTTTTCAAGGGTTTTTTAAGGGTCTACATAAGGTGTGGATTTTTTAAAGAATATTTTTTCAAGGGTCTACATAAGGCGTGGATTTTTTAAAGAATATTTTTTCAAGGGTTTTTTTAAGGGTCTACATAAGGTGTGGATTTTTTAAAGAATATTTTTTCAAGGGTCTACATAAGGTGTGGATTTTTTAAAGAATATTTTTTCAAGGGTCTACATAAGGCGTGGATTTTTTAAAGAATATTTTTTCAAGGGTCTACATAAGGCGTGGATTTTTTAAAGAATATTTTTTCAAGGGTCTACATAAGGCGTGGATTTTTTAAAGAATATTTTTTCAAGGGTTTTTTTAAGGGTCTACATAAGGTGTGGATTTTTTAAAGAATATTTTTTCAAGGGTCTACATAAGGCGTGGATTTTTTAAAGAATATTTTTTCTAGGGCCTATATGAGGCGTGGATTTTTTAAAGAATAGTTTTTCAACTGCCTATATGAGGAGTGGATTTTTTAAAGAACATTTTTTCAAGGGTCTTTAGAATGTGTGGATTTTTAAAAAAATGTTCCTAAGGCGTGGATTTTTTAAAGAATAGTTTTTCAACTGCCTATATGAGGAGTGGATTTTTTAAAGAACATTTTTTCAAGGGTCTTTAGAATGTGTGGATTTTTAAAAAAATGTTCCTAAGGCGTGGATTTTTTAAAGAATATTTTTTCAAGGGTCTTTAGAAGGTATGGGTTTTTAAAGAATATTTTTTCAAGTAGTGGATTTTTTTAAGAATATTTTTTCAAGGCGTGAATTTGTTTAGGAATATTTTTTCAGGGATTATTCAAGGCGTGGATTTTTCGCCAAGGCTTTGGTGATGTTCTTTTATAGCTCCATCTATTGGTAATCACCCTATGTGTGGTGTATTGTCTTTGCTTAACGAAAGTCTGGATTGTGCTTTTATTTGGTAGATTGGCAACGCACCCATGCTGCATTACCAAACCTCATGTGGTTCATATCTAGACTATGGTTGTCAACATCACATCGTTGTCAACTCCAGGCTATATTAATGGGTTATTGCTGAACAAAGTTTTTTAAAAACTATTTTTTCAAGGTGTATATTTTTGAAAGATATTTTTTTGATTTGATTAAAATAATATTTTTTAGGTTTGAAATAAAATAGATAAATTAAAAAATCTTGGTTTGGGTTTAAAATTTTTTTGGGGAAAAAAATCTAGGTGTTTTTTTTTTTAAATATTTTTTGGGAAAATAATTTACAGAAAAAAATAAGTGTGAATTTTTTTTTGAAATTGTTATTGTTTTTGTATTTTATTTATTTTTTTCATTGCCCCACATTTTAACAGCATTTATGACCTTTTTCATAAAAAAAAAACAAACAAAATACTGATAACAAATTACTAAGCAAAACGCGGAGATGATGACGTTTTCGAACCCAACACCGCCGGTATCAGTTGTTCCATTTCGCTGTGTTTATCTTGGAGACATTTTAAAAACTGCGCCGCCTCAGCGCTGGCAAGTGAGGCACAGTCGGTAAAATTTACCCGACGATAAATATCCATCCGCAAGTCGGCCTCAAAGGGATACACCGTCATTTGCTGGAAATTCTCTTCACGCAATTCGTAATCGTTTAATTTTTTATGAAATTTCGAAAAGGCTTTTGATTCGGCCAAATACGAAGCATAGCGTTGGGGATCCACATAACGCCTATTATAGATTTCGGTGCAAAGCGGAGGGAGATGTGTTAGTAACGATTCGATATCTTCCATATCGAAGTCACAGGTTGTTGAGGATGGCTCCGCTTGGCCGTGGGAACCATGGAGGAGGAATAGCTGTGAGATTTGATTTTTTGGTGGATTTTTTTTATTTTTTGAAATAAAATTGTATCTTACTCACTAACAACAACAGCGATAGCAAATTTCTTGTCATCTTTTCGAATCCAGTGAATACCAAAGACTGATTGCGGTATTTGAGATGTGTCACTGGGGTTTGGCAGGTGATAAATGTTGTACTTATTTATTTTTTTTATCTTTTAGTCACTACATAAAAATGGGTGGTAGTTAGGGACTATATAAAAAATTTAATAATTTTAAAAAATTTCAGAATTTTTTTAGAATAAAAATTAAATTTTCAAGGTGTGGATTTCAAAAAAAGTCCTGGAAGTCAAAGAATATTTTTCAGAGACTATCTAAGGCGTGGATTTTTTAAAGAATAATTTTCAAAGCCTTTAGAAGACGAGGATTTTTTAAAGAATATTTTTTTAAGTCCTTTAGAAGGGTTGGATTTTTTTAAAGAATGTTTTTTCAAGGTCTATAGAAGTTGTGGATTTTTAAAGAATATTTTTTCAAGGCCTTACCAAGGCGTGGATTTTTAAAAGAATATTTTTTCAAGGCCTAACCATGGTGTGGATTTTTTAAAGAATATATTTTCAAGGCCTTTAGAAGGCGTGGATTTTTTTAGGAATATATTTTCAAGGCCTTTAGGAGGCGTGGATTTTTTAAAGAATACTTTTTCAAGGACTATAGATGGCGTGGATTTTTTAAAGAATACTTTTTCAAGGCCTATAGAAGGCGTGGATTTTTTAAAGAATACTTTTTCAAGGCCTATAGAAGGCGTGGATTTTTTAAAGAATACTTTTTCAAGGCCTATAGAAGGCGTGGATTTTTTAAAGAATACTTTTTCAAGGCCTATAGAAGGCGTGGATTTTTTAAAGAATACTTTTTCAAGGCCTATAGAGGGCGTGGATTTTTTAAAGAATACTCTTTCAAGGCCTATAGAAGGCGTGGATTTTTTAAAGAATACTTTTTCAAGGCCCATAGAAGGCGTGGATTTTTTAAAGAATACTTTTTCAAGGCCCATAGAAGGCGTGGATTTTTTAAAGAATACTTTTTCAAGGCCCATAGAAGGCGTGGATTTTTTAAAGAATACTTTTTCAAGGCCCATAGAAGGCGTGGATTTTTTAAAGAATACTTTTTCAAGGCCCATAGAAGGCGTGGATTTTTTAAAGAATACTTTTTCAAGGCCCATAGAAGGCGTGGATTTTTTAAAGAATACTTTTTCAAGGCCCATAGAAGGCGTGGATTTTTTAAAGAATACTTTTTCAAGGCCCATAGAAGGCGTGGATTTTTTAAAGAATACTTTTTCAAGGCCCATAGAAGGCGTGGATTTTTTAAAGAATACTTTTTCCGTTGTGTGGGAGAAGGAAATCCTACTCAAAGGAAAACAACTTATTTCAATTATTGTTGTTAGAGAAAGAAGAAGAGAGAGAGAGAGACAATAGCAAAGACATAAAAGTATAAAGATAGGACATTTCATAGTCACGAATAAAATATAGATGTCGGTGGGGTATAACATTATGTTATGTCACGATATGGTGACATAACATAATGTTAAATTTTGAGTGAAATGATTTTTATATTCTCTGAAATGCACTGGAATTTTGACAAAAAGGAACTTTTGAAGAGGCAGATAAAAAAATATTCTCACACAGTTGAGCAATTTTTTTCCAAACAAAAAAATATATAGC